GGCCCCTAAAGAGTGTTATTGTCATTCGGTCACCAAGTCTTGTCCAGCTCTTTACAACTCCATAGACTGCAGCACACCAGTCTCCCCTGTCCTCCATTATCTTTAGCCGTTTGCTCAAATTCATGTCTGTTAAGTTGGTGATGCCATCTAACCATTTCCTCCTCTGCCACCTGCTTCTTGTTTTGCCTTTGACTTTCCCAGCATCAGGGTCTTTTCCAATGAGTGGCCTCTTCACATCAGATGGCCAAAGTATTGGAGCTTGAGCTTCAGCATCAGTCCTTCCAATGAATATTCAGGCTTGATTTCCTTTAGGATTGACTGGTTTGATCTCCTTGCAGTCCAAGGGACTCTCAAGAGTCTTCTCTAGCACCATAGTTTGAAAGCATCAATTTTTTGGCACTCAAACTTCTTTATGGTCCAACTCTCACATCCGTACATGACTACTGGAAAAACCATAGCCTTGACTATATGAACCTTTGTCAGCAAAGTGATGTCTCTGCTTTCTAATATGCTGTCTAGGTTTGTCCTAGCTTTCCTTCCAAGGATCAAGCATCTTTTAATTTCATGGCAGCCCTCACCATCTGCAGTGATTTTGGAACCCAAGAAATTAAAATCTATCACTGCTTCCCCTAGAGATATGTGTGTCCTAATCCTTGAAACCTGTGAATATTACCTTATGTGGCAAAAAGGAATGTTGCAGATGTGATTGATTTAGGAATCTTATAATGGGGAGATTATCCTGGATTATTCAAGCGGGTTCCCCATGTCATCACAAGCATACTCCTCAAGGGAGGCAGAGGGAGATTTGACTACAGAAGAGGAAGGCGGAGATGTGACGATCAAGACAAGAAATTGGGAGTGGTTTGAGGAAGGGGGTCATGAAAACTTCCAGGCTCTACCAACGACAAAGAAGTGGATTCTTCCCTGGAGCCTGCAGAAAGAACTGGGTCTGCTGACACCTTGCCTTCAGCCCGGTGAAACTGACTTCAGGCTTCTGACCTCCCTCCCTACAAGGGAGCACATCTGTATTGTTTTAAGCCACAAAAAAATGTGTGGTAATTTGTTACAGCAGCCTTTGCAAATTAATACAACCTCCCTTTTCTAAAAAGATGTTTTTCCAACTTGGCCTCTTTTTTCCGCCTCCTTGCTACTCCTCGCCATCTCTTGTTTGCCTCTCTTCCTAAATCTTGCTGCCTCTGTAATGACTTATATAACATATATGAACAGCAGCCCACCATGCTGAGAACTAAGCCCAAGTCCCTAACAGGACAGTCCAGGAGCGTCCGTGTGACCGGCCTCCTGCCCGCGGCTCCAGCCTCGTCTCCTGCCTCCTCTTGCCTCATTCACTGTGCTTGCGGTGCAGCCATTCCTAACCTGGGCTCTACCTGCTGGCTTCCTTGCTTCCCACCAGACACATGTGGTTAGGATTTAGAAAGTCTGTGAACCCCTGAAATTCAGCTCAAAACTTGTCATGTACAAGTTGTACGCTGTTGGTGGGAATGCAAATTGGTACAGCCACTGTGGAAACATTATGGAGATTTCTCAAAAAAGTAAAAATAGAACTAACCATATGACCTGGCAATTGCACTCCTGAGTATGTACCTGAAACAAACAAACAAACAAACAAATTAAAAAAGCAACACACAGCCCAGTGTTCATAGCAGCATTATTTATAATAATCAAGATATGGAAACAACCTGAGTCCATCGACAGATGAATGGATGAAGAAGATGTGATGTATATACCAATGGAATACAATTCAGCCATAAAGAACAAAATTTTGCCATTTGCATAGCATGGATGGACTTGGAGAGCATTATGCCAAGTGAAGTAAGTCAGGCAGAGCAAGACAAATACTATATGATATCACTTATATGTGGAATGTAAAAAAATACAACAAACTAGTGATTATAACAAAAAAGAAGCTGACTCACAGTTACAGAGAACAGACTAGTGGTTGCCAGTGGGGTGGAGGGAAATATAGGGGTGGAGGAGCAGGAGGAACAAACTACTGGGTGTAAGATAAGCTCAAGGTTGTATGGTACAACATGGGGAATACGGACAATATTTTGTATTAACCTGTAAATGGAAACTAGCCTTTAAAAACTGTATAAAAAAAAAAACTTGCCCTGCATGTGTGCTCATGTGTGTTCCTGGAGACACGATCCACAGGTATCTCTGAGCAGCTCCTGTGTCTCTAAGGAGATTGCGTGCCAGTGACAGCTTCTGATTTCTTGTACCTTTCCTGCTGCTTCAGCCTAGCACACCCTCACTCTTGTGTTCCATTCCCCTGAAATGCCTTCCCCCTCAAATCCCCTCATTCCATTCTTGTGTCTACTCTGGACCATCCCCCACCCCCCCCTCAAAGAACCCTGGGGGACACAGTACAAAAGGGAGACCCTCCCTCCCCCACCTTCCCTCTTAGGAACACAGATGAGAAACCTCCTCCCATCTTTATAGAATCTGTGAACCCCAAGGGAGGGACTTGGGGGCTCGAGTTCAAGATATTTTCCCAAAGGACAACATTTTCCTCCCTAAGAGAAATTCTGGTGTCAGCCATTAGATAATAATTTCCCCACCTCATTACCTAAACCACGAACCTGGAAGAAATAAATGTTATAATGCTGATATTAGAGCTATGCTTTGGAGGCAAAGAGAATTGGGTGATTAATTCCAACCTGGAGGATTATGGCAACTCCACAGAAGAAATATCACTGGAGCCATTTCTCACTGAATTATAAGGAGGACTTGATAAGAGGAAAAGAAAGAAGGGAATGGGAGAAAGAACGGTGTGGAGGCAGGAGGGGGCTTGGTGTGGGGATGGGGAGTGGTCTTGTGCCCTTTGAACCTTTGGATGTCTGGGCTGAGCTGTGGCCAAAGAGGTTAACTTGAAGAGGTTAATTCATCAGGGGAGGTACCACCTGGGGTGCTAGGGAGAATGGACTTTTGCATGGGCAGTGGAGAGTCATCAAGATTTTTTGAACAGGAGAATGATATAACCAACTCTGTGTCTTATTAGCATCTGTCTTCTCAGCCCCAGGGTACATGGCATGTCACAGGGCACAAAAGATGCTTTTGCATGAAGGAATAAATGCAAGGTTGCCTCTGGGAGAATGAACTGAGTTTAAAAGAGGCTGAAAAAGAGGGAACCAGTAAAGTACTTTTCTAGTAGTTTAGAGTTAGATGATGAGGTTGATCCAGTCTGGGGTGCTGGGGTGGAGGGCAAGGGGCACTGGGAGGGTTATTGCCAGGAAGGATTAACTGGGTAGGGAGGGGCAGGATGAGAAAGGGGATGTTTGGGGAAGACAGGTTTGTGACCTAGGAGAGGGTGGATGGTGGCATCCAGTGGGGGCTGCAGGAGGGGAGAGGTTTGGGGATAGAGGGATGGAGAGGAAAGTGAGGCATTTAGGAGGCTGGTATTGTGAGATCTCTCAGGTGCTAGATTCACAGAGTAGGGGTGGGATGGGAAGTGGGGAGGTGACATCGTAAGTTTCACCAGTGATCCGGGTTATGCACCCTCCTCACACCTGGCTTTCTCCCCAGAGAGAAGTCTGCACAGAAGTCCAAGGGCAGGAATCTCATTTGTTCTATCTCAGAACAAACCAGCCCTGAAACCAGTTCGAAGCAGCCATTTTTCATCCCTGTCCTCAGCCACCAGTTCCTCCCGGGAGTCCTCACCCTGTTATCTCTCAGCTTGGCATGGCCATCAGTTTGGGCTGGAACAAGGCACTGTATCTCCTGGAGATTTCCCTGATATGCTATCAGCAAAGGGCTTTCACTTCGAGTTACAGCGTTTCTAAATGTCCTCGAGAGGCACAACTCAGCCTGATGGAATGTTAATTATTTGGAGATGCTGAAGGTATTTCTGAATTACAGTTAAACTATGGGTACCCCCTAATGCCTTGCCCCAAAGATGCCCTAAGAACCCTAGAGCAGGAGGTGCATAGGGAATAGTCATGGCCGTTTTGGGATATAGCTCATGTGTCCAGGCGGGGCCCAAGGCAGGGACTGGGGCTCACATAATTTCCTGGGCGTGTGGTGGGTGTGAACTAGTGATTTGATTCTATGTCCATCCATTCATTTATTTACTTACCCTCTCATTTCATAGATAGTCATAACAGGCCCATGCTAGGAATATAAATGTCATCAAAATAGATTTGTGTTATTTTGTGCTCAAGTGGGGGAATAAACAGGCACTTATGAAGCTGAGGGCTGAAAGTGCAAGTGTGGACTTGGTTTAAGAAGAAGAGGTAGCTGGGTTTAAAAAAGAGGTAAAGGATGTTCCAGAAAGGAGATACAGCTGATACAAAGGTCTTGAGATACGAGAGGAGAAAGTGGGATGAGTTCAGGAAGTCAAGAATTTCCCTGTGACCAGAGCATAGTGTGTACTCATATGTGTATGTGTGCACGCGCGTGTGTGGCCCTGTGTATTTGCATGTAAATATGAGCACAAATGTGCATATACCCACCAGTACATGTGTATACTCACAACATGCATTGGACACATAGGCTTATGTGTGTGGGTGCATGTGTGTACATGCAAATGCATATGTGGCTGTGTACACATGTGTATACACGTGTGTGTATGTGTGTGTGTATGCGGGTATACATATCTTGGGTCGGGGAACATGAGAGAGATAGGACTGGAAAATGTGGACAAAAGAGAATCACAGGCTCTCTTCTTCAATGAGTTCAGGGCTTAAGAAACAAAATAGGGATGGGAACTATTACTTAGACAACCTCTACTGCCTGTCTGGACCTCTTGTCATCAAACAAACCTCCCCAAGAAAAGGAGGCATTGAAGAGCCTGGCTACACTCGCAGCATGAGTTTAAGGAGGGCAGAGAGGATACTCGATTCTTAACCACTCCATACATTACCCCGCCCCACATCCCTGTTATTACTGCAAGAGGAAAGACTTACCATATTTCGGGTTCCTGATTTCTACCCTTGCTCTTCTTCGGTTTTACAAAGATGTACCGAGGTGTGTCTCTGCCTGGGCTAGCTCTCCCAACAGCAGAGAGAGATGTTGCTGAGTGGAAATTTTCCAGACCAGTGGCTGACAACCGAGGCATTCACTTGGGCCAAGGAGCAAATGGGGCCCAAGGTCCTGCTCTGCTCCCCGTGTAGCTCCTGTGCATGCTGGCTAGTTACTGGTGAGGGACACTTCTTCCAGAAGACTGGCATCCTGACAGGGCACAGGTGTTGGGGTGTTACACTGCTCAGCCTCCCCAGCCCCGCCCAGCCACTGGGGACAGTGGCTAATCTCAGGCCACCTGTGAAGCTTGGCCAGTGGTCCCCACCTTGGTCCTGAGAGAGCCTGGGGTCCATCTTCAATGCTATGCCCTGCCCTCCGAGAGCTGCAGGGTGTGGCCTTGGACCATCTCCTGGGAGCCCACTTAATGTCAGGCCCCGTGGGAGGCCACTGCTGCTTCACTGTGTGTTGCTATCCTTGAAGAGATGGGAGAAGAGATACACAAACAAATTGAATACAACGTAGAGTAAGAAATGCCATAGAGAAGGACTGAGAACATACCTGTAGGTGAAAATGTTCATTGCGGAGCTTAACACATAGAAGGTGTTTAATAATGTTTAATTAAAAAATTTAGGATGAAATGCATAAAAGCATGGACTCTGGTGTCAGATTCTGACTCCAGCAGTGCTGGGAGGCCCAATGGCAAAAACAATCATAATAATATTTAATATTTATTTAGCACTTATTTGCAGTAGGTATGGGGGTGGGGAACATAACAGTCACAATAGGAAATATTCATTGAGGGCTTACTAAGTGCTGGATACTAGGTTTAAGCTGTTTACGGGTATTGTTTTATGTGACCCTTAGACAATGCCATGAGGTATATGTGCTGGGAAGAATAGTGGCCCCCAAAGGTGTCTGTATTCTCATCCCTGTGAACATCTTCCTTATAAGGAAGAAGTGACTTTGAAGATGTACTTAAAGATCTTGAGATGGGGAGGCAATCCTGGATTATCCAGGTGGGCCCTGTGTAATCACAATTGTCCTTATAAGTGAAAGAAGGAGACCAGAGGGGCTTTTCACTGGCAAAAAGGTAGATATGCTGTCAACTTATACATAAGATTTGAAAATTGTGTTAGGAAGGAAGATGCAGTGCTCCATTATCAATGTCTGCCAAGGATGTGGGAAGGGAGGATGGTGTATATGAGTTGGATACTTACCATCCTAAAAGAGACCTAAGTAAGGAAACTAATTTACTCATGCCTTTGCCTGTCCTTCTAACAGTAGCATATTACTCACCATGGACAAGTCCCAGCTCCCAACTGGATACCGGTTTAAAGATGGGAATCTCTACACCACTGGTTTCCTCTAAGTCTTGGATTCCAGTGCCCACCTGAGCTGACCCAGCAATTTTGTAATTTTCTGTTGGAGCTTCCTCAAGGTAGGCTGGTCTGCGGTGAGGTAGTGAGCTGCTTCCTCTCAGCTCTGGAATCATGGAGAGAGTGCTGGGCTTGATCAACAAATCTGGGTTCAAATCTTGGCTCCACCATTTACTACTTGGAGAAAGAAGGAGAGAGAGTGTTCTTGGTTGAGGGATGGGTGTAAGCAAAGGCAGAAGCACGATCCATGGTGGAGATGTCATGGCAGATGGGAACCCCCGGGAGATAGTGAAGGATGTCAGCATGGTCCTCTTTCACAGTCTTGGCTTAGGCTCTAAGACAATTGAGAACTTGTCTTTCTGAACAAGTTGTTGGAGTGCTATGCCATTTCCCTCCCTGGCCCCACCCACAGAGTGGATCTTTATCCTGAGCTTAAAAAGAGGGCCTATATTACCCCTGGAGTTTGAGACATACAGTGAATTGGTGTCCAGCATGGTCTTGAGTATTGTCTGCAGCTGAGAGGCTGGCAGAAGTGGCTGTGGTCACACTCAACTTCCACAGGCCAGAGTGTTGGGAACAGGAGCCCACATCCCATGCACCAGGGTCATTTAAAAACAATTACCACCTGTGATAGTGGTCAATTTTATATGTCAGCTTGGCTAGACCATGGTGCTCAGATACTTGGTCAAATATTATTCTGAATATTTCTGAGTTTTGGGATGAGATTAGCATTGAAATCAGTGGATGTTGAACAAAGCACATTGCTCACTGTAATGTGGTTAGGCCTCATCCAACCAGTTGAAGACCTAGCTAGCACAAAAGACTAGCTCCCCCAAATTTTGCAGCAGATGGCCTTTGGACTTGAACTGCAACACTGGATCTTTCTGGATCTCCAACCTATGAGCCCACCCTGCAGACTTTGGACTTGTCAGTTTCCATATTCATGTGATCCAATTCCTTAAAATAAATCTTTATATATGAGATATACATATATGATATATGTATATATCATATGGGTTGTGTTCCTCTGGAGACCCCTGACTAGTATCCCACCCATAGGACTTTCTCCCACGGGTGAGGCAATCTCAGCAGAAGAAGGCTGGAGGATTACTCCTGGCTGCAGACTTGGGGGGAAGCAGTCATATGGGTCATCCTGTGACTACCCACAGGGTGACCGGTGGGATGACAAACATTGTCTGCATATAAGAGGGACTGCTGTTTTATCTTCCCAGTGAGAATGTTTTCAAGTAACCCGTGAAAGTTGCTTACTCTGAATGTTTTGTGAGAGAAAGAATACATCAGGATATTGGGGTACCTCACAGGTCTCAAGAGCAGCAAGCCCAGTGAGGAATTTCGTGACAGAGGCAGGGATCCAGGTCCGTCCTCTTTCCATCTCATCCTGTGGCCTCTCATGTTGGTCTCTCTGTGGGGTGACTCTTGACTTGCTCACCATTACATGTTGCCTCAAAATGTCTTCCTCATCCATGGACTACTACCCACTACCACCCACCAACCATTGGTATCTCTTAGTTCACATTTGCAAGAGAAATCTGATTGACTGATGGCTAGCCAATGGACTGCCTCCCCCGGTCAGGCGCTCCCTATCCCCTCAACGATAAACTGGGGCTTGGAGTTGGGGTTACCCCGGTAACACATGGTGTCTGGGCTGCTCCTTTCTAGGGCTGCAGTGGAAGTGTGCAAGAAGATCACCAACAGTAATCAGAGGGCTAGCGTGACTGCAGCCTGCAAAACACAAAGATTATACTGAAAGATGGGGCTGTGAGGGGCATTTGGAGCTAGATCATGGGGGGATCTTGAGTGCCATGTCAAGGAGTTTGAACGTTACCTCCTGTGAGCCGGACTGGTGAAGTAACAGTCATCAACAGCTCCATCCCTTCAGATCACTGCCCGGTGGTGGCTCATTTGCCTGGCTAAGTAGTCTGACTGAAAGGTGGCAGATAGCTGGGGAACGCTCTGAAGAATGTGCCTTTTTTGATGGACTCCTGGAATGATGCTCAGGCTTTGGAATGATTCACTTCAAGGACTCTTGGCTTTTGTGTGTTTCAACTCTCAATTGCAACACTCCACTAATGTGGTTTTTTGCATTGAATTAAAATTAATCTAATACTTGACAACTCCGGCTGGACGCCTGCCAAATATGGAGACTAGAGATGCTTCCTGTAAATTCTGCCACAGAGGATTCTTACGATTCAGGGAACATCTCATTTATCTCACTGCTATGCACTCCTGACCCTAATTCTCCGGAGATACCTTCCGTAAGACCCTCTTGCATAAACGTGAGCATGTTCCACAGCAGCTACTTTTTCAAATCTGTATAATCTCTGGGGACCAGGATCATCTGAGGTGCAGGGAGAGAGTCATTTAGATGAGCCAACTCTGTTCAAAGTCAGTCTTGGATTTTTTCCAGTAATAATCTCTTTCGTCATTAATGGCCTGCTGGGTGAATCTTATTATATCTCCTTAAAATAATTTAGATGCTAATATCTCCCAGTGACCATTATGGGGGAACGTGGGGCTGGAGGTGGTGGTAAGGACTGAAAGCTGTCTTCTTTCTACCCTCCTTTTCACAGCTGGAGACCCTCATCTGATGGACTTAGAAAAGCTGCCCTAGCAACTAGGATTTTCATGCCTTTGCCCTCCAAATGCCTTTGATTGGTATCATAAAAGTTCTGCTTTCTGAATGAGGAGCCAGGATTCTGGGTGTGCAACCCCAGGGGATTCTGGGTGAATTTTCCAAAAGAATTCTGGGTAAACAATGGAAGGGAAATTGTATTTTTGATCAGATGTGAGCTTAAGGGTTGGCTAGGGAGGTATAAAAGAAGAGGAGGAATCTGGCAGTCAGGAGATTTGACTTCTGTTCTAGGTGTGTTGGGTTTCCCCGGGGGCTCAGCAGTAAAGAACCCGCCTGCCAGTGCAGCAGAACCAAGAGAGGTGGGTTCAATTCCTGTGTCAGGAAGATCCCCTTGAGTAGGGCGTGGCAACCCGCTCCAGTATTCTTGCCAGGAAAATCCCATGGACAGAGGAGCCTGGAGGGCTATAGTCCATAGGGCTGCAAAGAGTCAGACATGATTGAGCATAGCACAGCTAGGTGTGTTGCTGCTAGCCAAATTCCTTCCTTCCTTCCTTCTTTACTTTGCAGCTATTGATGCCTACTCCATGTCAGGTCCTGCGCTGGTTCTGAGAAAACAGACAGGTCATCATTCTTCTTCAAGGCGATCACAGCTTGTACGACTTTCTCCTTCCTGAGCCTCAATTTCTTATCTATAGAGGGAGCAGGTGGGAGTGGAAGTTCTCAGAGGGCTCTTCCAAGGTTAGTACTCTGCCATGGTAAGAGCCTTGATATCTGGCACCTTTTGTTTGATCTCATTCACTAAACTCCACCCACGTACTGCTTCATGGGCCCGGGATGCCGGCTTGCCATCAGCATCCTGCCTTTGAGTTGCTCAGGGTCAGGTAGAGCAGAAACACATGTGAGCTGGCGGCAAACAGACCAATACGTTTGTCCATAGCCTTGTGGAAAAGTGGAGGAGGGAACATGTAGCTTTGTTCATGGATGCTGATTGTGAAGCTGGAGGTTTCCCAAGTTTCATGGGTTCCATTCTCCTAGATCCCACAGAAAATCCCAGCCTGATTGCAGCCAACTATTACAATCTTTTAACCAGACAAACAAAGGATTGGACAGCTTTTTCTAACTCTTGGAACTCCGTTTCTGATTCACCTGTGGGGAACTGTGTAGAAAAATTGGCTGAGTCTGCACTGAGGTTCTTGATTTTGAGCACCAGGGAACATGCCACCACTTAAAAGCAAAGTGTTTTTTAATGCTGCTGACATTTTAAGAGAAATATTTCTTGTTGGATGCTGGAGAGTACACCAATGTTGTTTCTAAGAACAGGAGAGAGTGTGAGATAGGAGTATCAAGCTTGATTGTGTAGCACATGGGCCTCTCAAGGCAGAGGGAAGGGTCAAAATGACATCCCAGATATTGTCCTAAGGATGCTGTGTCCGTAGTTCTGTTTCAGGCTACCCATGGGAACTCTAACTTGAGCTGATTTATCCCCATAGGTCCTGGGAGTTCCTGGCTATCTTGGTTTGGGTCCCCCCCGCCCCAAAAAACAAGGTGTATTGGTGAGGACTCAATCTGAGAAGAGCAGCTGCCACCAGGAAGAAACAAGATGACCATGTTCATCTCTTAGTAGGGTTTGCCTGAACCCCGACTAACACTTTAATACTAAACTTTGTTCTGATTTTTCTTCCCGGAGGATATATACCTACACTTAAGAGATTTGTTACAAAGATTGAATTTTACGCACTGTGGGATTCTCTGTAAGTTCTGGTCATATTGCCTGATATTGGAGGTTGACGTCTCGAGGGCAGGCAGCTGGGAAGGGAAGATGGATGAAAAGGGAGGGAGGTCAAGGACAAACTGGAGCCTGCACCCCTGAGCTAGGACCCTGCAAGGATGCCATGAAATTGGGGCATGGGGGGTGGTCTTCTGTTTCAGAGCTAAACACATCCGCCTGACCTGACCATCAGAGATGTGACGTAAGATCCAAGGAGCTGATCCCAGGAAACATCAGTGAGGGGTGAAGGTGAGGAAGAGGATCTGGGAAGGAAGAATCCAGACCAAGTGATCCCCCAGAGCGTGATCCCCCGGGAACTCTGGGAGGTAGCCTGAACACGGCTTTGGAATTACCTGTGGGCTGAGGAAGCTGGGGAATTGTCTCTGATGCTGGTTGAGAGTTGCTTCCACCCAGAGAGAAGGCGTTTGGGCAGAAAGTTTCAGGTGTTCACCTTTGCAGGCTTTGGAGGGCGGCAGGGACGTGGAGGGCAGGGCTGAAAGGACTCCCTCTACACAGGGTATCACTTACATGATCTCAGCTACCAAGCCCACCATCTCCTCGAGCTCCTGCTTCGGCTCTAGTAGGGGCAGCTCCTTCGGTCTCCTGTGGTCACTTGAAGTGGACAGAGCGACTTCCACATCCACTATTGCTTTATGATGTGGTCCTGAAAGTGGGGCCGACCTGGGTCCACTCTCAGGCCTTTTCAGAGATTCGAGGGTAAGAGTTGATTATGTCTTAATTTGTCTTGTCTGGCTGTCTCCTTAATTCAGCTGAACATGACCCAGGAGACATCTGCCGGTTGACTGCTATTTTCTGAACCAGACCTCTTTTCTGACAAGACCCATTTGTGAGGACTAAGGGTGTGTTCTACACAGCAGATCTGGACTCCACTCCATTCAGGCCCAGCAGGACCACAACTCAGGTGAGACTTGGAGCCTCAGAGCTCCCAGGATCTCTGCCTCTCAGAGCTAGAAGGGGCTGACCGAGTCAACTCACCTATTGCCCTCACTCTCAGACAGAGAAGTTGAGGCCCAGAAAGAAGATGGGTTTTTCTGGGGTTACATAACCATTTCATGGGGTCCCAGCTTGTCTGAATCCACCACCAGCTGACTTCCTGTAATGCTGTGCTCTGTACCAGACAAAGTGTCTGGGTGGCTGCTCCTTCAACAGGGATCTCGTCATAAGCAGTTGGGAGATCTCTTTTGCGAGTGGCTTTGAACCTGTTTCAAATCCTGGCATTGACATGCCCTCCAAGAGAGAAGAGCATGGACTTCAGACTTGGACAACCTGGGCTTGAATTTTAACTCACCTGTTACGTGACTCTGGGAAAATTACTTAACCTAGGTGTCCCACTTCTTCACCTGAAAAAAGAGGATAATAAAACATATCTTTCAGGATTGTTGTCCAGATGAAATGTGTTAATGTACATAGAACACTTAGCACAGTCTCTCAGACATAGTAATTATTCGCTAAGCAGTGATGATGACAATTATTGTTGTCATTGTTATTGTTAATGTCAAGGCCATTTGCCTCCAGTGTAGGGGCAGCTGATCATGCTGCCTGTATAAGTTTGTCTAATTCAGGTGTTTGATTTTAGGAAGCTCATTGTGACTGTACACCTAAGCCCCACTTCCAGCCCTGCCAGTATCAGTAATAAAATCGATGCTTTGGTCTCTACCTGTCTTACTCTTTTGTATTCTACTTACTTAGTTCAGATCCTGGATGGGGAAACCAGAAGTATTTATTGGGTCTGCTCAAACCCCCATAATGTTCAGTATGAACATGATGAAAAATTTAAAGAGGAAAAAAATTACCCACAGTTGTGTCATCTGGAGGTAACCTTCTTAAGCTTTTTCTATGTGGGTATATGTATTTTTAACCAAAGCTGTATTATGTTGTAGGTTTTATGTGTACTTTTTCACTGAAAGATGAAATGAATTCCTTTTCAATAAATATTTTTTTTTGACATTATTTTTAATGGCTGAATGTTTTTCTATGGTCGGAGTCTTCTACGATTTAGTGAACGAGTCTGCGGCTGGTGGAATGCCAGGTACTTTCTGCTTGCCTTCAAATTCACTCTTTACCCTCAGTGACCTCTCTGAACTTCCATGGACCCATCAACAGGCTGCTGTGCCCTAAGGCGCTGTGGGTACCCAGCATGGAAGAACGCAGGGCAGAGTGCATGTGCAGATCCTGAGGGCAGACTGGGCTATGCCAGGCGCATGCGTGCTAAGTAGCTTTAGTCCAGGCAGACCCTCTCCTAAACTTGCCTGTTAGGGTGGGAAGGGGAAGATCCCAACCCAGGGATCGAACCCAGGTCTCTCACATTGCAGGCAGATTCTTTACCAACTGAGCTATCAGGGAAAAACCTGAGAAGGGGTCAGGGTCCAGCCAAAAAAAAAAAGTCAGTATTATTTAGACATACTTCCTCCATTTAGAACCAAAAGGAGTGAGGAGGGGGGAAAAGGCCATGTAAAAAAACTTCCAAATACTGTCACACACCTTATCAGGTTTAATGGTCACAGCTAACCTGTGAGGTAGGTAACATTGTTGGTTCCTACTTTACAACTAAGACTAAAGTTCAGACAATAAAGTATTTGCCCAGAGTTACACAGCTAATGAGTCATGAGCTTGGACTAGAAGCCGTACCTGACTCCTGACCACAAATTTCCCTTCTCTGCATGAATCCTGAATGTTTTAAATGTTTGGAGTTTGAAGGAAGGTTGCCAGGGTGTGGTGGGCCAGACTCTTGGCAATTCTAAGGCCAGGCTGCCCAAGAACCCAGGGAGAGGGGACAGTAAATGTTGTGAGCAGAAGAGCAACTCTTGCTCAGAATCTGTGAGGGCTGCCATCTGAGGCTCCCAGCAACCCTGGCACCCACCTCCAGCCCTGACCTTACCTCTCCTGGTTCCCCGCACGCCCCGTGCCTCTGCGGGTGCTCTTTCCTCTTCCCAGGATGCCTTCTCTACCTAGCATCCCTTGTGGGCATTTTCTGTCCCTGAAGGAAAAATAGAAATGCTCTCCTCTTCCACAAAGCCTATCTTGACCCCTTCCTCTGAATCACTTTGATTTCTATGTGGAAGTGAACCACGAACCCCACCAGAGCCTCCGGCAGAGCACTTCCCCCTGGCTTCAACAGCAGCAGCTTGCCTCTAGAGGGTGTGCAGCTGTTTGTCAAATCACATCAGAAATAAGGAGTTTTGCCTTTTGACATTGCCCCCTGCATTCCAAGAGCGGGGAGTGGGGGCTCAGGTTCTACTCAAGAGACTGCAGAAGCTCTTCTAGGGAGCCTGCCCACCAACACACACACACACACACACACACACACACACACACACACACATGGACACAGAGATACTAGCTGCAGTCCCGGCACTGTGTGTACACAACTTTCACGATGATTTTCCCTGACCCTCATAATAGTCCCTCGCATCCTTCCCCACCTCTCCATCCCTCTAGGTATCAGTTGGCTATTGCCATGTAACAAAGTGCTCCAGACGCTAGTGGCTTAAAATGAAAATTTCTTAGTTTTCATGATTCTGTAGATTGGTTGTTTTCAGATGAGTGACTCTACTTCCCGTACTGTCACAGAGGTCACTGCTGTAGCTGCGTCCCATTCCCCAAGATGGTTGGTAGTCTAGTTTGAGCTTCTCTATGTGGCCGCTGACCTCCAGAGGGGAAAATGCTAACTCTCACAATCACAGGAATTAAAGCAAATCACAGGTCTACCCAGATTCAGGGGGAGGGGAAACCAGTCTCCACCTCTTGACGTGAAGAGCAGCTAAGCACAGAGGGAGGGGAAGAATTGTTGGAGGCCACATTTGGAGACTAACTCCCCTCCCCTCCTCTGCCTCAGGCTTGGCTTCATCCTGAAGCAACTTCTTAACTGTTCCACTGCTCCTGTCCCTTCTCCACTTCATTCCTTAACCAGAGGGATCATTCCAGGATACAAATCTCAGCACATGACTGTCTTACTCTCCTGTGGTGGCTCCAACTGTTGTAGACTTAAGTTCAAGATCCTCAGCCTATTAGATTCATCTCCCAGATACCCTGGAAGCCTCAGAGGTTGTTAATTTCTTCTCAATTAAGTCTTACCCCTGGAGTGCAAAGTCAAGTGGGCCTTAGGAAGCATCACAAAGAACAAAGCTAGTGGAGGTGATGGAATTCCAGTTGAGCTATTTCAAATCCTAAAAGATGATGCTATGAAAGTGCTGCACTCAATATGCCAGCACACTTGGAAAACTCAGCAGTGGCCACAGGACTGGAAAAAGTCAGTTTTCATTCAAATCCCAAAGAAAGGCAATACCATAGAATGTTCAAACTACCATACAATTGCATTCATTTCACATGCTAGCAATGTAATGTTCAAAATTCTCTAAGCTAGGCTTCAACAGTATGTGAACCAAGAACTTCCAGATGTACAAGCTGGATTTAGAAAAGGCAGAGGAGCCAGAGATCAAATTGCCAACATCCACTGGATCATAGAAAAAGCTAGAGAATTTCAGAAAAATATCTATTTCTGTTTCATTGACTATGATAAATCTTTTGACTGTGTGGATCACAACAAACTGGAAAATTCTTCAAGAGATGGGAATACCAGACCACCTTGCCTGCCTCCTGAGAAATCCACATGCAGGTCAAGAAACAACAGTTAGAACCGGACATGGAACAATGGACTGGTTCAAAATTGGGAAAGGAGTACATCAAGGTCTATATATTGTCAACCTGCTTATTTAACTTATATGCAGAGTACATCATGCAAAATGCCAGGCTGGATGAAGCACAAGCTGGAACCAAGATTGCTGGGAGAGATATCAGTAACTTCAGTAAAGCAGATGACACCACCCTTATGGCAGAAAGCAAAGAGGAAATAAAGAGCCTCTTGATGAAGGTGGAAGAGGAGAGTGAAAAAGCTGGCTTGAAACTCAACATTTAAAAAATGAAGATCATGGCATCCAGTCCCATCACTTCATGTCAAATAGATGGTGAAACAATGGAAACAGTGACAGACCTTATTTTCTTGGGCTCCAGAATGACTGCAGATAGTGACTGCAGTCATGAAATTAAAAGATGCTTGCTCCTTGGAAGAAAAGCTATGACAAACCTAGTTTAGTTCATTTCAGTTCAGTTGCTCAGTCGTGTCTGACTCTGTGATCCCATGGACTGCAGCACACCAGGCTACCCCATCCATCACCAACTCCTGGAGCTTGCTCAGACTCCTGTCCATTGAGTTGGTGATGCCATCAAAACATTTCATCCTCTGTCGTCCCCTTCTCCTCCTGCCTTCAGTTTTTCCCAGCATCAGGGTCTTTTCCAATAAGTCGGCTCTTTGCATCAGGTGGCCAAATTATTGGAGCTTCAGCTTCAGCATCAGTCCTTCCAATGAATATTCAGGACTGATTTCCTTTAGGATTGACTGGTTTGATTTCTTTGCTGTCCAAGGACTCTCAAGAGTCTTCTCCAACACCACAGTTTGAAAGCATCAATTTTTCGGTGCTCAGCTTTCTTTATGGTCCAACTCTTGCATCCATACATGACTCCTGGAAAAACCATAGCTTTGACTATATGGATCTTCACCAGCAAAGTAATGTTTCTGCTTTCTTAATATGGTG